TTATGTGAAGGACTGTTCTAAATAAACTAAAATAAATATTGTATAAGATTCATAATAGACAATCACATTCAGTACATTTTATCTTCCGAATACTTTACTAAAACAATTTCTTGTGGTATCTTGATTTCATTCTATTTTGAACTTATTGTTCTTAGAAAAGGAAAGTTCAGTCGATGACGACGTCGATACCGCACTTTAATCCTCAATCGACAGGATGAAATTCTTGTTATAATAACTAACCAGTTAAAGTTAATTTATCTTCGATCACAAAACACGAATATTTATTTAGCTAAATACGCAGCTACAATTCGATGCAGATTTACTTGTTGTAAATGCAAAATTCGTAAAACCGATACAACAAATTGTCTGTGAATAATTTCATGACATTTTATAAATCNGTATTTTATACGTAACATCTTTTAGAACGAAATTAATACAAGAATGAATTAGGGTAATCGAACATACATTGATGATTGACACATTCTGGAAAAATTATTTTTTTCTGTGCCGAACGTATATTTGAACACCGACACGTGAACTTTATGCGAGCGTTGGACAAAAATCGTCCGTTGATCCAACTCGTTCGCGTTGTAACGATCCTTTTTTTCTCCGTAAGCCAGTTCCGCAATACTAGAGGAAAACAGTGAAAGGGAACGAGAAAGGATACAGTAGCATACAGCGGTTCTCGTTTCGCTGAGATTTACGAGAAACTCCGTTGTATTTATTAAAAGTTTCGTACCGTGGCCGGGTTCCGTACATACTCGCGAAAACTTTACGGCGCGAGGTCCGAAACGATACTTTAGAGAAACGAAAGTTAAGTATTAGTGATGAAAGAAACGTCAGGGAATCAGTTGTAACTTCAACAATTGTTAAACTGTTTTATTCTATATTATCTCATTGACGATCGTAATTGATAATCTAAGATAAATGTGAGAATGAGTAATGTAGATACTTCGGAGAGACTAAATTTTTATGAAATTACTTATTTCTGATAAAAGAAAGCATAATTTCATTACAGTTAAAAAAAATCATACGTATGACGCGTAACTGTGTATATATTTTTTTGTTACAGTACTATGAGATGTCTTATGGGTTGAACGTGGAGATGCACAAGCAGGTAAGTGAGAACACCAACGAGACAATTTCTCTTATCGTTCATATGCATGCGAACAAGTCTGCGAAAGTCTTTATTTGAGTAGCAACTGAAAACGTCCAAAAGTCGTACCAGCTTGCCCTTTTCAGCAAAGTTTCTCAGACGGTAGATATTAATCTTTAAATGCAAACTTTCAAAAACGATAAAATATTGTGAAATGGGTCAATTTATGAATTACGAAAACATTATTTTGTGTCAATCGATTACAACATAAACGTTATACAAAAATTGTAAAGCAATTGTAGTAAAAGTTTCACAGCATAACTGCATACTTCTTTAATTTCGTATCAAATCATTTATCGTTAAGCTAGCCGCTTTCTATCATGGCAACAGATAGTAGAATTTAAGAATCAAAAGATTTCTCGTTAATCGAGAATATATTGGCCAATCCGGAAATGGCCAAATGGTATGTCACGGGTTGCAAAAACTAAAAGGGTGACGGCGGCGCGGCGCATCTGGCCCAGGAAATCGTGTAATTTTGGCTAATTAGAGGAAACACTGGGTCGCATTCCCCTTCTGTCAGTAATTTTCTTAAAAGCGATCACGACCCCTCGCTGCACGTGAACCATCCTCTCTTTCTCCTCACCGAAACGGAGCGGTGGTCGGGGAAGGAGGCGAGGACCTAAACTCCGAAACAACCCTCCCTGACACGATGAGCTGATATTCATTAGCATTAGCGGCCGATCATTTCTCACCCTTGTACCCAGGGGCGTTGGTTAATGGGGTGCAAGCTTGGGGACAAGCAGGGGTAGGGATACACTCCGAATAGGCCGCTCCACCATTAAATCGGCGCGAAATTGCGTCCGGTGGCTCAAGTGGCAAACTAGTTAGCTTAGGATGCTTTATAGCGGTGCTTGTTATTGCCGTGTACGGTTTGAGATTCGAATTGATACGTCGTCCCCTTAAAACGTGTACCGTTTAATAGACTCGTTATTGCCGGCTACTCAAAAATCGTTTTATGAATCATATTATGGGTTTTCTTCTGGAGTTATAAAAACATTTTGACCAGGCAATGAAATTGACATTTTTGATAAAGTTAAATCTTAGCAAACTCGGCAGTTAGTCACTACACTGTTACAAATTCGTAGAAATCTTTACGAGGTTACATATAAACCAAGTTTGGTTTTTTATAGCGCATATAATTAAACGTCGCTTATGTATACGTTACACGAACAAAGAAGATTATGCAATTGATTATGTATGAGATAAAAATCAAGCGATTGAAAACGGAAATATGTATATTTAGTCGACGAAGTCTCGCCTGTTTTAACGCGCGTAAGCAATGTACTGTTTTGTATCGGGGAAACTGAGAGTAAGTGGTTACTTGTGCTCGTATAATTGCTAATGGGCACGTAGTCGGGTAAATAAATTAAAGGTAGGGAAACGGAAAATCGTTGGTCGCCGAGAAAACAATCCCCTTTGGACGTATCGACGACAACAAATTACATCGAAGCCTGTTGGGTATAATGTCGACTGGCTTCATGCCTAACGCTAATTAGAGGGAAAGTAAAAAGTTCTTCGTTCTTAAACGATTGATTAATTAATGTTCACATGTCGTGATAATGTTGTGCTCGCATGTCTTCATCTAATCGTTTTCTATCAACTACATGTGTTCAATTGTACTCGAAAAATGTTACAAAGTTTCTCTTTAACAATTTATGATTTTCAATATTTTTCCTAAGGCAAGTATGATTGTTGAAATAATAATAATCGTGTAATGTTTAATACCTATCTCATTTCAACTACAACAATTATTTATGTGTTTGACTAACGAATACTTTATCGGCATGCATAGCTCCACACCCTAATCGGCTTAATCAAGCTACTTGATACTTTGATCATTTTTCGTTAACGAATTAAGATACACTTAAAGAAAAAAACATGATCTTGATTACGTTGTCACTTGTACAAGTTCTCGAGCATTCCGTCTCCACGCGTTTCCTCTTTGTCTTTTCGTTTTAGCATAAAGGAAAATTACGCGGGTTAGGGTTAGGGATTGAGAAAAGGATAGGAAAAGAGAGAAGAGAATAAATCACCCTCCGTTTGGTTGTCTCCGGCACTTAGCCAGCTTTCGAATCGCGGTCTTCGGTCCTTGCTCCTTTTCAATTTGAGAACCGAATGAAAACAATCTTCTCCCTACGACTACGAGGTTAGACTTCTCTCTCTTCCTCGGTCGTCGTTCCTCCCTGCAAATCTATCCCCTCTCGTTTTTACCCTTTTTAGTCCAGCACCGTTGGCGACTTTGATTTCATCCCTTTCGTCTCTCTCGCGCGCGCGTGTTCTTTTTCCCCATTAGTCCTCCTCTGTTGTTGCTGCCTTCGCTCTTTCCCATCCTGTTCTCCAACCTCTCTCGTGTCCGATCTCTTCCCACATCTCTTATCGCCACCCCAAGTCGACATTTGCCTCCCACCACCGTATAACCGTTCGAGCCTGCAGCCACCACTTTACCACTCGCTACTCGACTAACTCGAATTTGTTGGCAATGTCCCAGTTCTTATACCGGTCTTTCTTTCTCTCGCTTCTCCCCGAACTCGACCCAACCCTCCCCCTCTTCAAATAATTGCACGTCGCGGCCTTTGCGAACCTGCTTCAAACGCGGTTACCTGTATGCGGATATCTCAGGGCACTGATTTCATGCCACGTGTACTTTTACAAGGCTAGAATTTCTTTAATATTTGTATTTCTCATTAAACCTCTTGATATCAGTTGATTTATTTCCTTCTCAAAAGTACTTCGATAAAAAGTGTAATGCTAAAGATACAAATTTGTAAAAAGTACAGCAATATTCTATATTAAAGTATATGCAAGAACGGACAACGGATTTATAGAGATTGAGATTTAGAAAGGGGGAAAATGCATAAACGAGAAGACTGATCAGCGACGCATCCGGTGAACTCATAGGATAGGTCGCAACGCACTTATCCGATAACGCTTATCAGTTAATTGAAAGGCTCGTCCTGGAGGCCGACCACGTGTTCGTTGTGTCCTCAATTAAGCCACGATTGCAATATGCTGTGAATCCGTCACGCCTGTGGACTTTCTATGGGTATACGAACGATCGCGCATCGTGCGCGTAATTCTATCTTTGACACTGGGTTATGTATACCCTCGCTGATAAAATCCTAGGACAACAGATGTATGTGCGTGTATTCGTTTGAAACGTGCAGGAAATTACATAACCGAAAGAAAGAAGTAATGAGAACGTTTTCATTCAACGTTGCGTTTCATTAATGATAATATATGAAAGATTTTAATAACGTGTAAAAATAAATTTCCAATCGATATTCAGTGATTCGTTAAGAGATTTATTGGAGATCCGATAAAGCCATATAACGGTAACATTAAATGTCCAACGTCGAGGAAAACCAAAATAATGCTGCAGTTAGTGTCATAATTCGAGCGATTTAGGCGTTGGCAATCGTCCATTCTCAAGAGGCGTTCAGAGAGCACTATCCGTAGTTATAAGTAGGGTTACCGATCTTGGAAGCATCCCCTTTTGATCGAAAAGAGTGTAGTCTCGTCATCCCTTCGAGATGAAGAATATTCGTATCGCCATCGGCGTTCGCCGATATAAGAGTAACTACCATTTCCCATCGCGGATACGCCGGGCGCGCCGATAAAAAATGTGCAGGCTGACCAATTGCATATAACTCACCCTGCCTTTCCAGTTCTTCCTGGCTTCGCGTATATACCTACATGCACGTCTATCTATCCGCGCACGTTTCCTCCTCGTCTCTCTTTCTCTCGCAGACTACACCATTTCCTCTCTTTCTTCCGGTGGTCGGGGGTCGCTTTTCCAGCACTCACCCCGTCCATATATATACATACACATATTCCGCGATGCGCGCGCGTACACACGCACAAGTCGCGTGTACGTGTAGCACACTCTCGTGTATGTGCTTAGACGTACATATAGGCACGCGTTCCAGGGTTCGTGAATTCGAGTTCTTTTATTTGGCCCTGCGGGGGTAGCAGCGGGTTGAGTTGAGCGAGCGAAACGAGGGTGCGGTGGGCTGGGGGCGATGACATCGATTTTTTACCCGTTGCTAATCTCAATGTTACCTCCTCCTGCTCTCTGCCTCCTCTTCCTCTTCCTCCTGCCCAGGTTCGGCCACCTCCATGCACTCTTTTTACCGTCCCTCTCCTTCCCCCTCTCCCTTATATCCTCGTCCACCCTACTCTTCTATCTTCTCCCCCACCATTCGCCATCCTCGGACCATCCGTTCTGCGGGAAAATGTGCATGTGCATCGGGCACATTCGAGAAGGAATAACCATTTTTTCGTACCGGACAACACTTGCGCCGCGCGCAAATTCTCCTCGCCTCCCGTTCGCCATCGTTCCTTTCCCTCTTTCTCCATTCAACTCTGTCCCTTGTCACGCGTCGTTTTCTATCTCCGTCGTCGCTTCGTTTCCTGTCCCCTTGTTGTTCAGTGCACCTCCTCCCCTTTCCCCTCTCTCTCTTTTTTCTCTCTCACTCTCTTTGGAGCTACCTGGCCGGTCCTTTTCGTCTTTTTTTTCCGTCGAGCTTTTCTTTTTTTCCGCGTTGCACTCTACCCTTCTTTTCCGGCACCTACCAACGCGGCGCAGACCCCTGGCCGAAATCGAACTGACGCGGACGCGACAGTTTTCCATCCTTCTGTCTCCCGTGGGAATAATGACATTTTTTCTGATTCGAAGTTTTAGACGCAGGCCACGTATATCTGTGACAGTTTGGATTGAGTACAGATTGAGAGATCGTTAGGTACAAGATTTAGTTGAATCGCAGAATAATATGAACCGTGTCTAACTACATGTATAATATTTCGTAGATCCGTTTACGAGCATTTGAAAAGTATAGTACCTAATGTTTGTTTCTACTTTATTATCATCTTTCATTAGTTCATATTTTAATTTCTAGTGTACAAAAATAACATGTCGTTTTAGACAGTCAGGAAAAATTCCTTGAAAAGATATCATGTGTATCTGACTTATTGGATCTTAAGGATGTATTGGCTATACAGTCAATCCCAGAAGTTTATGTACCTTAGAAAAACGCATTTCCTATAATTAAAAAGAAATCAGACGTCGGAAGAATAATGCTAATAA